ATTATCCCCGTATGTTTTTTAAGATTCGCCAATTATATATGTTTAAATTTATGAATTTTCAATGTATGTGCGCAAAGCTATTAAACTTTTAAATTTGTCGTTTGGATGATGCAAAACATTTGGCAGCCACTGTATTTCCTTCCGAAGGAGGGTTTGACCAGTTTTAACAATGTATTTCGATCTTTGTTCATCATTATTAAAAATAAACCCGTGCATACGTACATGATTTATATCAATATTACACCCTCGATCATATGATGATGGCAATTTTTATGGGCTAAATTATTGGAAAAATTATGGATATATTTTACATGTATAAGGATAATGAAAAATTTCTCCAAACCAACTCAAAACATAATTCTTGAGTAAAGAAAAAGTAAAAGAGCTTCAGTGTTCTAAAATGGAACTGCAATTTAAGCTCAAACTAAATATCCGAAGATTTACACAAAAAACAAAACCAATTTGATCATTTGGCATATTTAACCCAATCGGCTGGTGTTACGTCTACCATACCATATTTTTTACACCATTCATCTTTAAGCTTCCACCACACAGCGCGCATATTGCTTATTTCAATATCCGTACTAGGTTTAGGTACTATTATTTGCCAGGGGGGTTGGTTGAGGGTCATCAACGTGTTTAATTCAACATATTTGCCACCAGTTGTATAATATTTCCATCGAGTATCGTGAGCTGCTTGTTCAGAACAAATATATAAGGTTACTTCTCTCGTGTGCTCGGTGCGACAACCCCCAAAAGCTGTCATCACATGTGTAGATGTATGATGCGTATGATTGGTGCCTTTGATGTCTTCACACTTTGCAGCACAGCAGGGACAACGCGCAGTACAACCTTCCAAGGTGTCCCATTTCGCTTCGATTGTTTCATTGGCACGGCACTGAATACGTCTCTTCGTTGTATCGAGATGCTCCTCAGTTTCCCATATGTCGTGAAGCTCGACGAACTTTTTCTTCAATTGTTTTTTGAAAATTACGCAAAATTTCCTGGGATCTTCAACAATGTATTCACCAAAAACGGACGAGAATCTTTCGACATAATTGTACGCGGCTTTTCCCCGAGATTTTTCAACCATAGCTTTGATATTAGACTTTGCGCCGAGACTCCACACGTTGGTAATTTCCGCAATGAGAATTGCTTCTATGTCTTTGATTTTTTTCTTAATCTCTTTAATCTTGTCATTCACTAGTGTATTGATCCTGGGATTGCTTTCCTCGTTAAAAATTTTCCGGGCAAACTTGTCGAGGTCGGTGAGATATTCGCGGACGGCGTTATGATCCCTGTTACCGAAACTTCGCTTATGCGCCCAATGGGTCGCACCGAACTTATTCACCCAACTTGCTTGCAAGTAATTTTCAACATCATCTTTAATTGTTGATTCATGGGTTGAAAGACTTTCGGTCACCTTCCCGAGGATGTGCTTAGTTAATTCCAAAGACAGATTGTTAGCAGAGTGATCTAATAAGAGATTATTGAAACTTGATTGGAGTTCTTCTTTTAGAGCTTCGAGTTTTTTCTTTTGTTCAGAGCGCCATTCTTTCAAGTTTTGGCTTAGAGTTTTGTATACCTCTAGCCGCAAATATTTCTAGTAAAGATATTAATAAGAAAAATATGGTCTCATTTAAAATCAGTTAGTAATATTTAAATCTACCTCGATTGGATTGAAATCACTAATCTCTGGTGAATATCTGGCCTGGGGATTGCTCAAATTTCCAATAACGTTGAAAAGTCCATCGCATAATCTCTGAAGCCAACTATGCGTCTTTCCATATTCGATTCGCAAAGATTTTTCCACCTTGATTTCAGTGCAAATTGCATTCGTAACTTTTTCGACCTCTTTGAGAACATTCTGAGCAGCCTCGTTTTTGACTGAGGTATTATCAGCAAGCCTACAAGTTTGAAGAACTTGAGCTGTCCTACCTTGAGCTTTTATAGCGATTCGCGTGTGTATGACATCGTAGTTCATTACGATACCCTCCGTAGACAAAACTGCGGGCATTTCAAGAGACATCCAGAATTTCCTGTGGAATCTTTGTTGAAAACCTGGATTTCGAGAATCGACTGTGCTCTGACCCCCTTTGATTGCTTCATTAAATGAATTCACTAGTTGTTCAAGCTGGCTAGAATTTTCAATTTTTTCCATAAAATCTTCATGAGATTGTTTCACTTTCTTCCACGTATCATCAAATAGTCGGTCACGTTTATTTTGGTCACGTCTCAACTCTTCCAAATCATGAGCTGAATTAATTTTGATTTGATCGCCAAAGTCTTTCACTGCATTATTTATTAGTGCCTTCTCGTTGTATTTACGTTCCTCTTCACACCATTTTGCTTCGAGACTGAGTTTATCGGTGGCGAACATGTTATGAACCAGATTTCGTCCTTCATCTTTAATTCTAGCATCAAATTGATTTGCAGCTTGCTGGTCAAATTCGAGAAGCGATTTGTCACGGTGTTTTTTTTCAATACTAGATAGCTTCGCCATAAACTCGTTATGAATTTGATCTGATTGATTATAATTCGCTTCAAGCTTCCTAATGTGAACCTTTATGCATTCGTTCACTTCTTCCCGAAATGGTTTCAAATTCTTTTGGAGCATTTGGACAATTGCTTGCATTGCATTCCACTTTTGAATTTCTTTAAAGTCATTGAAGTGGAGGAAACTGCCCCTGGCATCAATCATGCCCCATGTTGTTTTCATCTGTACAATAAAGCCTAAATATGGAAATATAATCAATATAGCTCACAACGTTTGAGCTTTTGAAAATAAAGAAAGATGCACATAGTTACCGTTGACATTATCAAACATTTTAGTCTCTTGAACGTGAGTTGAATCAAGAGCTGATGCAAGAAGGTCTTTACGCAAGTTTGATACTTTGATAGGGAAAGTCTCCTGAGGAAATATGGTCAAGTTAATGAATCTATTTGAAATTACATTATCAATAACTAATATTTCACATAAATTAATAAATACTTGCCGCAGGTACATGTATATTTTCAGTTTCCGAGATAATATCAACTCGTGGTCGAAAGTCATCATTGAAGGATGAAAAGGCATTCACCAAAAGGTGCACATCCTTTTGTTCTACCGTCATAAAGTCGTCTAAATCTTCTGTGCAGCCAGGAATTTGTCGAAACATTTCTTCGAGACTTGTGCGAATGTCTAGAAAAGCTGGTTTTTGGACTTCGGCTTTATCCATCATATCACGCAATACAAAATGTAATCTAGGTTTTAATCTGCTTGCTTTCAATGCATCCAAATGATAAGAGGAAACCTCAAGAATATTGGCGATATCACGCGTTAAGCCCTTGGTATTAATGATGACAATTTGGGAGCACATTAAAGCAAGCAACGTGATTTTCTTGTCAAAACTTGTACGCCTGGTAATATATTTCTGAGCCGTTGAGCCCATGCCCTCTTTTTTTTTAAATTTAAATTAATTTGAATCGATTCTCTATATATTGTTATTAATCGTCTGAAGATACAAACCTGAATCCAGTATAAGGAGATCAATCGGTTGTCCGTTAAACATAGAATGGCGATATGACATATACATTCCCTTTGTACTATAAAATGAAAAGGCAAAATTATTATATTACATGTATTTCACCAAATGCTGTGAACAACAAATTCAACCTTACCATCGCCCAGCCGCAGTTGAAAACCCGCATTTGAAGAGATAATTAAGCAAGGTAGACTTGCCTGAACTCTCCAGGCCGATTACAGATATGACAAGAAGTTGACGGTTTGGATCCGTCATTATTGATGTCAAGACCTTTGTTAGAAAATCAGTATCAAGTGCTCGAAGCGATAATCCGTCTAACATTTGCATAGCCTCGCCTTCTATTACCCAAGTTCGATAGGCGTTCTCCAGAGTCCTGGAGAAAATTTATCGTTAGTAATTTGATTTTAAGCTTGCGACGTAAATTAGACCCATTTCTTACTTGATATCAACAGAATAGAGTTTTTGAGAAACAGAAATCTCCCTCGTGACTGTAATATTCGCGAGAATAACAAACTCCCGCCAAAAATCATGAATTGAAATATCATTATCTTCAATCTGCTGTTTGATATGTTGCCGAGCAGAATCTTCGGATTGATCTAACATTGAGAGTTCATGTAAATGCGCTTTAAAGAAATCATCGACATTACGAGCAAATGCGCGCATTTTAAATATATCATTTTCTTTAATTCCTTCCACAAATAAAGACAGTATGGATAATGGTGACGTATCGCCTATGGCTAATTTAGTTGATTCAAACTTTTTAATTTTCTGGCATAATTCCGCTTCAGATATGAAGTTGCGGTTATCCTCACAAGTTGTCAAATGTTTCTTATCTCTAAGATTTTCAATTTCGTGCTCAACATATGAGGCGGGGAAAATTTGACGGCGCCGAAAACTACTAAGGCCACTGATGAAGCCGGCGTCTTGCATACATTGGGCAAAATACCTGCCAGACATATCATGGGGCCAAACAACAATTTGGGTAATATCATGTAAACTGGTTGAGACATTGAATGAGAGATATGGGTACAAATATTGTTCTTTCACTCTCAAAATAGCATTGAATATATCTGCCTTTAATTCATCTAATTGCTGTTGACCTTTAGATGCCGAGAGTCTCTTAAAGCTAATCTCGTCATTACCAAATCTTGATTTAAGAATTCGTTCGATCAAAAACTTTCGTTTGTTCAATGTGTCGCGTGCTCTGTGATCCTTCATTTTTTGGGTATCTTTATATAACACTAAAATTTTGCGTTTTTCATTAGCACATCGTTTCGTGGAAATCATATGTATTTGATTTTCTAGTTCCTGGCTGATTTCGTTTCCAACAAAATCATCATCAGAGACATGAATAATTAGAAAGAAAGCGTACTGGGAGAGACCATTCACAACACCATTCATGAATTGGGACGGCGTTTTGCTATTATATACTTCAGCTATTGCAACCGGTTGTCGGATGTGGTTTTCAGATGCTGAATGAAAAGAGATATCAATTGATCCGGGATGAGAAATAGACATGGTATCTTCCCGATTGGCGCACAAAATTGGATACAACTGTTTCGAAAAAGGGGGACTTATTTCGCTAGTTGTTAAGTTGAATGAGAGAAAAAGGCAATACTTTTTTGCCATTATCACTTCACGCAACGCAGTGAGAACCTTCTGACCTTTAGGGCATGGTTTCGGCTGATCGGTCAAAAGTATTGGAATAGGTATGTTAGAAGAGACGAGAGTACCTAGCATTGTGGGCATAGCCTTTTCTGGTACTTGATCCAAGAAAGCGACCAAAAAATCACGGCCGGTGCAGGTTGCTAAACAAGCCAAGAGAGGATTAGGATTGTGTCGGTTAACTTGGCGAATACAATCGACCAATTTGCGAAGGGAAACTGTGCGGCTAAGGATATCGATTAAATAAGGAAACAAGCCTCGCAAAATTCCGTGCGAGGAGTTTTGGAGAGCGTGTATCACGTATTTCCTCACTGTTTCTACCGTCAATTCTTCCGCGATAAATCGAGTGGAATCAAAATCCAGCGGACTCAATCCGAATGTGATTTCAAAAAATGCATCAAGCGTAAGCGTGTTTTCATTCTCATCAAAAGAACCCTCGTCAAAGGAGAAACTCTCATCATAAGAGTCCATAGCAAGGTCTTCAAACTACATTGGTATATAGGTCACGCCACCCATTAATAATTTTTTCGTTTAATATTTTTATCTTAATATATCTTTAATATATCTTAATATTACCGTTTCGTCGGCATCGGTATCGTCTCTCATTATTAAAGAGATTTAAGTTACTAAAAAACAATCTTCTGATTATTCTTTATATACCTAATAAGGTCAGCCGGGAAACTGCGGATTCCAAAATTTATGAAATAAAATCCATATGGCAAAGTCATCATGATATTCCTCGACGTGAGAATTCACGCAAGGAAACAACTGAAAATGGTTTCTTCTCTCACACACTTGATAAATGGTCTAGCGTCATAGCGAGTTTTTTAATCATGAGAACAAGGTTCATGGGAACTCATCAATTAAAGGAATAATGCACGTTCTCATGAAAATCTAGTATTCACACACATGGCACATTTTTCCGAGCGTCAAACTATCTTAGAAAGTAAGCATAAGCGTTGTTTTATTGTTTTCTTCGTCAAAAAAAAACAAAATTTTCCACACCACATTTTTTAATGGTAAAAGAAAATTTTAATCTTGGTGATTTTAGCTTTGTGAGATTCTTTGAATAACAAGAGAACTACGAGTACATGTATCTCAAAAAAAGTTGGATGATTATCTTAACGTTAAGGCAAAAATGATAATAGCACCAACGTGGCTGTTGCCCTTTTTGGAACCAGTGTTGGGGAAAAGTCATGTTCACAGTAAACATAAATTCTTGGAAGAAATCAAGATTTTTTTATTTTTACGTTCACGTAATGTGAACATTTCTTGCTCAAGTTATCGTTATGACTATAAAATTTTGTAAATAACTGGTCATGTGAAGATTATGATCACTGAAATAAATGTAATCTATTAACGTTAATGCTGAATCAATTTAATACATGTATACAAGAATAAATCACATACTAATTCCAAAATGGTTTATTCGAGGAAAAACGTTGAATTTGATATGTATGATAAAGTATTAATTAGCACTTAAAATATTCCGAATAAAATAATATATGTTCATATTTGTGAACATATATTATTTTCATGTGAACATTGTAAAAATTTATGTTCAAAAGAAAAAATTGAATTTCCAACACTGTTCATAATCCAAGTTATAAAAAAATCAAAATTGATAGAAACGAGCAAAAATTGGTTTAGTGATGCCCCAGCTGAAAAAAATATATACACCACGAGCATATGGAAGAAAGTTTAAAAGTTGGAATGTCTCTCAACTTCTACCTTTCTTATTCGGGGGAACGCTAGTAAAAATTCTAAGTTATTTGAATTTTTTGCGTTCGCAATCGGAGTGCATAATTTTCACGTGACCCGGCATTACTTTTGAGATTCCCTTTACAATGAAGTTATTTTTGTACTTAAAAAAACTGCAATAACATCCTTAATCAATCCCTTGTTATGGCGGAAGATAAATGGTTACCGTTTCCCAACCGTGACTTTAGTGGCAGCAGATTACTTTGCATTACAAGCTATTAATCTTTCAAGAAACCGTCTTCTTGATCAATCAGCAAGAGCTCTTTATGCTTAAAAAGTTGTTTGAAGCAGAAATTCTAGTTGATTGGAGTAAACAAACTATATTATTAATAAGACACGATAAATATTTTTGATTTATTTTGTTAAACCGACAAATAATCAAAATTTTGCAGAGTTTTAATTTTATTACTTATGCCATTATGTAAAATCACATATACCTGTACATGTATCTCTTAATTTTATCACGTTGCTTATGCCGATAAATCGGAATCCATGTTTTAACGAACAACGGCTACTTGTACGAATCCATTGTGATGTACGCCAATCCAAGTATGGTTAGTATATTCGGAAAAATCTTTTGGTAATAAACCTTAGTAATAAAGGTTAGAATGGAGATAAACTTATATGTAAAATTGTCATTTTAACTAATACTCCAAATAGATTTATTCGTTTTTCGTATTTTCTCACATGTATTTCGTCGTGTTGATCAAAAATTTGCACATCCTTATTGGTTGTTTTCTAACCAAAATGGATTGGTACATGTACATGTATAACGGACTTTCAATGTACCGGAGATTAAAACGGTTGGTAAACAATGCAATATTAATAATTAAATCTCTATTTGCTATTTATTTTACTGATTGTTATTTTTAATTA